ATGCCACTGCACACTCCTCCCACATTGGCGCTGCTCCTGTCCGGCCGTTTATGTGGATGGGCCTAATGGGAAGAGGTTAACAACCAGCTAAACCGCTAAATCCTAGCAAAATGCTGGCACACTAAAAGGGAAAAACACTGGAAAACAAACACTTTTTTTGAGCGTTTTTTTATACAGTGTTTTTTTCAGCTGCTAGCGTGCATGGCCTAACTGAACAGCCAACAAAATGACACCAAGCTCATGTACCACTTGAAGTCCAGGACTTCTAAAACCGGCCTAAAGACAGCACGGGTTACAAGCAACCGTTAAGTCTGAGCAGTGGTTGGACATTTAGAATGTGTGAATAGGTTTACCTACATTGGGGTAGATATGTGAAATTCACAAGACTGGCTAAACAGAATCAGAAATCAAAGAGCACATTCCTACATTTATTTCAGCTGTGTATTCACCTGTTTGCCAGCAGTTCCACTGGGGACCCATTGGGTCAGTGACCCGCAATTAATTTGTATATGCATATTTTCAATATATTTACATATTCAAAGGCACCTAAAAAACACATTGCTATGAAATGCATTGAAAATAGCTAAGACGAGAAAGAAGCGAAACAATGCAGTTGCATGGGAAACACTCACACACAGACCCACAATCCAAATCCTGCGGTGATTGCTCCTGTTTGGATCTGCTATTACTAGGCAATCATTGTCCTTGCAGATAAAGTGCTCACTAGAGAGCAGCATATGTCTGTTATACTGTAGTCTCTATTTATTATACTGTATTCTCTATTATACTGTATTCTCTATTTATTATACTGTATTCTCTATTTATTATACTGTATTCTTTATTTATTATACTATATTCTCTATTATACTGTATTCTCTATTTATTATACTGTATTCTTTATTTATTATACTATATTCTCTATTATACTGTATTCATTATATCTTTTATACTGTATTCTCTATTTATTATACTGTATTCTCTATTATACTATATTCTCTATCTGCTATACTATATTCTCTATTATACTGTATTCTCTATTATACTGTATTCTCTATTTATTATACTATATTCTCTATCTGCTATACTATATTCTCTATTATACTGTATTCTCTATTTATTATACTATATTCTCTATTATACTGTATTCTCTATTTATTATACTGTATTCTTTATTTATTATACTATATTCTCTATTATACTGTATTCATTATCTTTTATACTGTATTCTCTATTTATTATACTGTATTCTCTATTATACTATATTCTCTATCTGCTATACTATATTCTCTATTATACTGTATTCTCTATTATACTGTATTCTCTATTTATTATACTATATTCTCTATCTGCTTTACTACTATATTCTCTATTATACTGTATTCTCTATTTATTATACTATATTCTCTATTATACTGTATTCTCTATTTATTATACTGTATTCTCTATTTATTATACTGTATTCTTTATTTATTATACTATATTCTCTATTATACTGTATTCATTATCTTTTATACTGTATTCTCTATTTATTATACTGTATTCTCTATTATACTATATTCTCTATCTGCTATACTATATTCTCTATTATACTGTATTCTCTATTTATTATACTATATTCTCTATTATACTATATTCTCTATCTGTTATACTATATTCTCTATTTTACTGTATTCTCTATCTGCTATACTGTATTATTATCTATTTATTATACTATATTCTCTATCTATTATACTGTATTTCTATATTTATTATAATATATTCTCTCTGTTATACTGTATTCTTTATTTATTATACTATATTCTCTATCTATCATACTGTATTCTCTATTATACTGTATTCTCTATCTGCTGTACTGCATTCTCTATTTATTATACTATATTCTCTATCTATCATACTGTATTCTCTATCTTTTATACTGCATTCTCTATTCATTATACTGTATTCTCTATCTATTATACTGTATTCTCTATCTTACTGTATTCCCTATCTTTTATACTGTATTCTCTATTCATTATACTGTGTTCTCTATTTATTATACTGTATTCTCTATCTATTATATTATATTCTCTATCTTTTATACTGTATTCTCTATCTATTATACTGTATTCTCTATTATACTGTATTCTCTATCTTACTGTATTCTCTATCTTTTATACTGTATTCTCTATCTTACTGTATTCTCTATCTTTTATACTGTATTCTCTATTCATTATATTCTCTATCATTATACTGTATTCTCTATCTGTTATGTTGGCTGCAATGGAGACACTGCAGAAAAGCATGTAGTGCGTTTTTGCCGCGTTTTTGATGCATTTTGCGTTTTTTTTTTTTCTTGTTCCTAGGCAGATTAAAATGCAAAACGCATCAAAAACACAGTCAAAAATGCAGCAAAAACACACTGCATGCTTTTCTGCAGCATCTCCATTCCCACTGAAGTCTATATTACCAAAAATGCAATGTTTTGAGTTTTAAAAAGTCCATGACCCTTTCTAAAAAACGCACTGGGTGAAAACACAGAGATGTGAACGTATCCCATAGGAAATCATGTTAAATGGACTGCTGTGCATTTCCACAAAATGCAAAACACTGCGGAAAACGCTTAGGTGTGAACCTAGACTAAGACTCTTACACCCCGGTCACATCAAAGACAATTTTGAAATCGTGCAACTTACAGCGACGTCGCACGATTTCAAAGTCGGATGACATGCCGATTTGAGGTGCGATTTGCAAGACATTGGACACAGTTGTCTACGCAAAAGTAGTGCTATTACTTTAGAAATCGGTGCGGCTCCGACCAAGTCAGAACCACAGCAATATGACCGCTTTAATAGCGGACAATAGGGTGTGACTTGGTATATGATTTGCAAGTCGCCTGGCATGCAAATCGCATGCCAAGTCGCACCCCATGTGACCGAGGTGTAAAGCTACTTTCACACTGATCCATAGCAAAAACACATACCGTATGTGTTTTTTGCTGTGTTTGTGGTGTGTTATTTACAGGCTCAAAAAACAAACTAAAAATGCAACGCAGGTGCGTTTTTGATGCTTTCTTGCCACGTTTTTTCTTTGATTTCAATGGGGATGTGCGTTTTTTTTAAAATCCTGCTTGCTGCGTTTTTGATGCTTTCTTGCCACGTTTTTTCTTTGATTTCAATGGGGAGGTGTGTTTTTTTTTTTTACCGTACCAAACCTGCACCAAAAATGCAGCCAGCAGGATTTTAAAAAACGCACCTCCCCATTGAAATCAAAGAAAAAACGTGTCAAGAAAGCATCAAAAACGCACCTGAGCCTCACCGCATCAGTGTGAAGAGTTCCATAGGAATATAAGGAGGAGACTATCAAAGCAAACAGTAAACATTTTGGAAGGCTTATTCTGTAATCAATAGGCTTGCACAAGTCATTCAGCAGGGAAGCTGATTGCACTGTCTGACATACAGACAACCAACTGAAAGAACACTTAGGGGTCTACGTATAAAACGTTTGTTGTGTAGATGTGACAAACATCTGCACGTTTAGAAACAAAATCGCTGTATTTTCACTAATAGGAGCAGCACAGTGGCTAAATGGTTAGCACTTCTGCCTGGCAGTACTAGGGTCATTGGTTCGAATTCCAACCATGGTACCACCTGCCTGGAGTTTGCATGTTCTCCCTGTGCCTGTGTGGGTTTCCTCCAAGTACTCCAGTTTCCTCCACACTCCAAAGACATGCTGGTAGGTGAATTGGCTCCTGTATAAATTGTCCCTAGTATGTGTATGTATGAATGTGAGTTAGGGACCTTAGATTGTACACCCCTTGAGGGTTAGGGACTGATGTGAATGTACAATATATATGTAAATTGATGGAGCTATATAAGTACCTGAAATAAAAATAAATGGTCACATGTTTTTCTTGCCCTTTATTTAAAATCAAAACTGGAAGAAAAATTGATTAGTGTTAAAGTAGCCTAAGGGCCAGTTCACACTACAAAAACGCACTCCGGATGCATTCCGGATATGTTTTTGCTTACACTTCACACCACAAGCAGTTCCGGTGCAGTTTTGATGCAGTTTACCATGTTCCAGTATGGTTCTGTGCAGATAAAATGCAGCATGTTCTACTTTTTTTTCTACTCCGGAAATTGACTGCACTAGTGTGAACCAAGGCTGTTGGAATACATGGAAAACACTGTGCTTGCATTTTTGATGCAGGATAAAAAAGCACACTGAACTGCATCTAATGTGAACTCGCCCTTAAACAACAGAAAGTCCAGTTTACAATCACTTCTATACAGTGGGGCAAAAAAGTATTTAGTCAGCCACCAATTGTGCAAGTTCTCCCACTTAAAAAGATGAGAGCCCTGTATTGGCATCATAGGTAGACCTCAACTATGAGAGACAAAATGAGAAAAAAAATCCAGACAATCACATTGGCTGATTTGGAAAGAATTTATTTGCAAATTATGGTGGAAAATAAGTATTTGGTCAATATCAAAAGTTCATCTCAATACTTTGTTATATATCCTTTGTTGGCAATGACAGAGGTCAAAGGTTTCCTGTAAGTCTTCACAAGGTTGGCACACACTGTTGCTGGTATGTTGGCCCATCCTCCATGCAGATCTCCTCTAGAGCAGTGATGTTTTGGGGCTGTCGCTGGGCAACACGGACTTTCAACTCCCTCCAAAGGTTTTCTATGGGGTTGAGATCTGGAGACTGGCTAGGCCACTCCAGGACCTTGAAATGCTTCTTACGAAGCCACTCCTTCGTTGCCCGGGCGGTATGTTTGGGATCGTTGTCATGTTGGAAGTCCCTCGGACACAGCGGATCACGGAAAGAGCCTAAGGTGTCATGTGATCAGCTGTGTCCAATCACAGCTGATCACATGTAAACACAGAAATGCCGGTTATCTGCATTTCTCTCCCCTCGAGCTGTCGAGAGGAGTGGAGAGCCGGTAATCGACTTTCCGCGGAGGGGACATGTACACTGATCATTAGGGCACTGATGATCAGTGTGCCCTGATGATCAGTGTGGCCCCAGAAGTGCCACCTGTCAGTGCTCATCAGTGCCAGTGCCCATCAGTGCCACATCAATGCCACATATCAGTGCATATCAGTGCACATCAATGCCACATATCACTGCCCATCTGAGCTGCCTTTCAATGTCACCCATCAGTGCCAGTCAGTGCCACCAATCAATGCCAATCGGTGCCACCTATCAGTGCCAGTCAGTGTCGCCTATCAGTGCCAGTCAGTGCTGCCTATCAGTGCCAGTCAGTGCTGCCTATCAGTACCACCTATCAGTGCCATATATCAGTGTCATGTATCAGTGCTGCCTTTCAGTGCCAATCAGTGATGCCTGTCAATGCCCATCAGTGCAACCTACCAGTGCCTCCTCATCAGTGCCCATCAGTGCCACCTATCAGTGTCCATCAGTGCAGCCTATCAGTGCCCATCACTGCATCCTCATTAGCGCATATCAGTGAAGGAGAAAAATCACTTCTTTACAAAATTGTATAACAAAAACTAAGAAAAAACATTTTTTTTTCAAAATTTTCAGTGGTTTTTGGTTTGTTTAAGAAAAAATAAAAATCCCAGAGGTGATTAAATACCACCAAAAGAAAGCTCTATCTGTCTCCAAAAAATGATAAAAATTTCATATGGGTACAATGTTGCATGACTGCGCAATTGTCATTCAAAGTGTGACAGCGCTGAAAGCTGGAAATTGGCCTGGGCAGGAAGGGGGTATAAGTGCTCTGTAGGCAAGTGGTTAAGTGGGAGAACTTGCACAATTGGTGGCTGACTAAATACTTTTTTGCCTCACTGTATGTATGTAAGCAGGTACTTCCAAAAGCTTAAGGGCCAGTTCACACTACATGCTTTTCAATTGCTTGTTTTCTGCATCCAAAATGCAAGTTGGTTATATGGTTGCCAATGTCATAGTTCACATCAGTTCTTGCAGTTCCAGTGCGTTCCGGATGCAGAAAAAAAAGTAGAACAGGCTGCATTTTTCCTGCACAGAACTGTACTGGAACACGGTAAAATGCATCAAGAATGCACTGGAACGCACATGTCCCTATTTAACCACATGCCGCTCAGCCACTGTAGAAATACGGTGGCAGGGCGGCACGGCTGGGCAAAAGCACATTTTAAAACGCACTTTTGCAAAACAGGTAGGGGGCGTGCACTAGGCGTGCGCCTCCGCCCTACCTGTCCCGCCGATCCCGGCCGCAGGTGTCAGTCGCCAGGTCACAGCCAGTCGTTACCGGCTATGTCCCGCCGATTAGCGGCAATCACTGACAGAGAGCAGGGCTGCAGTAGCTCTGCTTTCTGTCAGTTCTCTGAAAGCTGCTGACATGCTGATCCGGAGAGAAGAGTTTATCTCTCCCGATCAGCGTGTCCCCCGTGCAGTACCCCCGCCCCCTAGTAAAACACTCCCCTCACACAGTTAGCCCTTTCAGTGAATAAAAAAGTTAACCCCTTCCTCCCCAGTGCCATTAGTACAGTGTCAGTGTTTTTTTTTTTGCACTGATCACTGTATTGGTGTCACTGGGGATGTCAGTGACCCCAATGACTGGTAAGCTGCATTTTTGGAAACGGTCAGGGACTTTTCTAAACGTGAAAAACAGCATTTTTGCAACAACAGAATTCAATAGAGACGCTGCTGAAACGCATTTAGTGCGTTTTTGCTGTGTTTTGCATTTTTATGCTGGCAAGCAACAAAAACATTTCCCCTTTGACAAAAAAACAAAACAGAGAAAAAAACCCTGAAAAAAAAGGAAAACTCAGAAAAAACTGTGTGCAAAAACGCAAAACACTCTGCAAAAAAAGCACTGCAAAACGGACAAAACGCATACTGCATTAGTGTGAACCAGGCCTAAGTGCCCCTGAGGAGGAGTTCCTGGGGATGTAGCTATTGTTCCGTCAGTCTGAGAACCTCTCTGGGGGAGAAGCCCAGTTGGGGTTCCCACTGGGGTCTGAAGCCTGTGGATCTATATAGATTTACAGCTGCCAATCATGAACTTACTGCCTTTTAGGGACTATCAGCAAATCATGGACTCTGTGGGATTACTTGCTGTCTTGTGTGGCTTTACTGTCTAAATGCATTGAAAGGATTGCTTGTATGAGCTTGCCATCTGCCTAAGGTATGATAATTTTATGGGGCACTAGAGAGCTTTGTATAGGAAAGTGTGTGGAAGATGTCTTTGAGAACTGTTTGTGTGTTATACCTGCAACTGTCAAAGATCTTTATTGTTCACCCTAAATGCCTGGTCTGAAGTCCCTACAGGGGTGCACGCATGGAACAGGGCTTACATCATGGGACTACCCAGGTTAGAGAAGATACAGTACAGATTCTAATGAGCTGAATGCTGTCCAGAGAAAACCATAATGCTGTTGCTCATGACCAGGGACGGACTGACCATTTGGAAACTCGGGCACTGCCCGAGTGCCCGGGGTCAGTAGGGGGCCCCATGAGATGCCCCTGGTACCTTTTTCATAGGCTTTTTTTTAGTTTGGGCAAGGACACAGGGGCCCCATGATCCCCTATTGCCTGGGGGCCCCATGAGTTGTCAGTCCGCCCCTGGTCATGACTACGGTATTTGTGTCACTTGCTAAAGCAGCCAACCAGCCAGGAGACGGGTGACATGGCAAAGTTACATTGGTAGTGAAGGGACATTATGTTGGGGCTTTTCACTAGCGACTGGCTCCCCACAAACTGCAACTAGATCTGCAGCACAGAGTGCCTAGGGACTCATGAGAATTATGGGATGAGGCTTCGAGAGGAGATCCAGCATGAAGTGACAGCAAAATGCGTTTCCTGTGTCCAGTTGTCACATTCGGGGCATTGTCACTGGGAGTGGGGTGATGGGACTGCTGAGTTGGTGGAAACTGGTACAAGCTCCGAAGAACCGTCTCAGAAATGCTGCACACCTTGGGAAGTGGTGTTCTCTAACAGAAGTGTGTCTGAAATGCTTAGTGCCAACGCTGTAAGGACGTTCAGCCACGGATTACAGGGCGTTAACTGTGCAAGTGCTGCTTGCTTCTAAGTCTAGAGTATGGCCTTAATGTTGACTTTCACATGACAGCACCTCCCTGCCTAGCTGAGGCATTACCGAGTGCAGTTCCACAGTTTCTCTGTTCCCACTAAGGAGCCTTAACGTGGTTCTAAAGCCTTAAGGTTTTTCACCTTAATGCATTCTGATGACCCTGATGCATGCATTTACATACGCGCATGCATGGGAGTGACGTTACTGCTGCCCGGCATGCGGCTGAAGATTCCAAATCCGGAAGAAAGAGTGGATGAAGATGCCCATTGCCCATTCTGCCCATTCACTGCCCCCTTGCACCAACTGTCCATGGTTGGCATGGAGTGTGCATTGCACATTTGTGGCCATTTTCTAGATTTTTACAGTAGTAGCTGTTGAAGCCGACATGAAGCTACGGTCTGGTCCTCTTTACTAACCACTCTTCTAGAGCTTGAGTGCAGTTGCGTCCTGGGCGGTTGTTCCTCCTGCCCACCCCTTGTCCCAGCCCTGGTTTTACATTTTGCTCCAGCTCACTGATTTCCCCTTTTCTCTACCCAACAGTACTTGCCATGCTGGTCCCAGGTCTAGCGATGAGCACACAGAAACATGGTGAGGACACATGGGGGGGACCAGGAATAATGGGGAGCTGCACAGCCACTGGATCACTTCCATCAGATAGTTGACCACGGCCATCTTTAATATTGATTGGACCCTGGGCAAACATTTTCTTGCCCCCCCCCCCCATGCAATTTCGCTCTTCACCTTCTCTGAGACAAACCAGCTAGCCTCAAAATCAGTTTACTGCAGCAGATCAGGCAGTGATTGTGACTGGTTGTCAGAGGTTACAGCATATCATTACTAATCACTGACTGGTTGCTAAAGGTTACAGCACACACTATTGCTCACTGATTGGTTGCTAGAGGTTATTGCACATCATTACCACTCACTGATTGGTTGCTAGAGGTTACTGCACATCCCTTACCACTCAATGATTGGCTGCTATAGGTTACTGCACATCCTTACCTCTCAATCATTGGCTGCTATAGGTTACTGCACATCCTTACCTCTCACTGATTGGCTGCTGTAGGTTACTGTGCATCATTACCACTTACTTATTGGTTGCTAAAGGTTTTAGCACATCATTACGACTCACTTATTGATAACATCTGTACCCCAAACCTCCCCCAACCTCTCCATTCAACCCCCCACACACACACCTTAACTCTACATGCCTACTCTGCTCACCTATGCACCTACCTTCCTTACCTCTGTACATCCCATCTGTGCTCACCTGTGTAATTCCTTCTCTGCCTACCTTTGCACACCACACCTGCACACCTTTGCGAACATGCTGGTGGTCGGCTCAGTGACCACAATTGCAGGCGGGACTTTCAAGCATGTCTCTGTTTACCTCCCCAGTGGGCAGCATTCAGCAGAGGTGATGGTGGATAGCAGGGGCGGACTGACAACTCATGGGGCCCCTGGGCAATAGGGGATCATGGGGCCCCTGTGTCCTTGCCCAAACTCAAAAAAGCCTATGAAAAAGGTACCAGGGGCATCTCATGGGGCCCCCTACTAACCCCGGGCCCTCGGACAGTGCCCGAGTTTCCAAAAGGTCAGTCCGCCCCTGGTGGATAGAACCTTAGGGGGGCATAATATACATATGAATGCTGTCACTATTCACATATGAAGGTCACTGCTATTTACATGTAAATGCTGCCACTATTTACATATCAATTTACATGTGAATGCTGATATGATCTGGGTCATATGTACACTGCACTGGGGCAATAGGGCATATAAGTGACAGCACTTCACACTGAGATATTGGGACACAGCGCAGGAGAAAGATTGCAAGGGACAAAGGTATGTAAAGAGGGACAATTGGCAAATATGGGGCAGCTGGTTTGGGCCCCACAAATATGACCGGGCCCTGGGCAGCTGCCCCTTTTCCCCTGCCTTAAAGACAACCCTGTAGCCGACACTTGGCTTTTCAGATTTATGCACACTGCATGTAAAACCCTCCACAGCCACCAACATAGTTTTTACGTCCGTGGCAGCAAAAAGGTTAAATGTGTCTGTCGGTTTATTTGTGTGCCTTTAGCCAAATGTGAGCGCTGAGATTCCCCATAATCTGCTCTTCAGTCTTTAGTATTCTCTAATTAAGGCCACGGTGAACCTTGTAAAGAATGAAATGTCAACTGACTAAGTCGTCTGACATTTAATACGTTTACTTTGGGAATGATGACATTCTGTAACAGAACAGCAATCATTACTAGCAGTTTGTAAAAAAAAAATGTTCTTCAAACTTCAAGTTGTATCTATAACCAAAACTTTTTTTGGGGGGATAG